AAAAAAAATGTGTCTTTAAACCTTAAGAAAAAAAAAGTCAGCCTGAACAATAAGCGAACGGCAGGGAGGTGCATGTGCCCATACGGATTGTAGGAACCTCGGTTCGTCACGGTGCGTCTTAATGTGTTTGCTTAACAGCCTCCAAAGGAATTCAAAATATGGAAGTCAAACTATGTACCACCTCCGGAGACCTACACTACTGAGAAGAAACCTCCCCCTCCAGAGCTGGATATGGCAATAAAATGGTCTAACATATATGAGGACAATGGTGATGATGCCCCACACAACGCTAAGAAAGCTAGGCTCCTGCCTGAAGGGGAGGAGACAGTGGAATCAGGTAAGGCGAGTCAGACTCCTGTGATAATACCTTTTGGTCCCTGTGATGAGTTTTAAAAGGAGACATTTAATGAGTGAAATTTAAGTCTAGCGGTTTAACAAATTAATTATGGTGTATGACTATTATTTTTTGCTGTATTTTTGAGAAAAATCCTATATGGCTTGGAAGTGAGGTCTCTGAAAGCTCAACCAGTAGTATTTACTGTGTTTTAGAAAAAGATCATGTTAGGGGCACCTGGGTGGCTCAGTTGGTTGAGCATCCGACTTCGGCTCAGGTCATGATCTCGCACTCCGTGAGTTCGAGCCCCACATCAGGCTCTGTGCTGACAGCTCAGAGCCTGGAGCCTGCTTCCGATTCTGTGTCTCCCTCTCTCTCTGTCCCTCCCCTGCTCACACTCTGTCTCCCTGTCTCTCAAAAATAAATAAACATTAAAAAAAAAAAAAGAAAAAGATCATGTTATTCAGGCTTTGAAGCAAAATCCCTAATATCCCAACCAATAGTATATGTGATTTATGGTGCCTTATTACAACAGAGTCCGTTAATGCATGGATTCTTTCTTGTGATTGCAGCTTTGAAGCGCTGAAGGCTTCATTTTATATTAAAGCAGTCTGATTTGAAGCCAAAATTAGCGTGACAAAGTGAGTTTAATTGAGTATCCCTGCGTGGTAATAGGAAGATAATGACTTAGTTGTTTATGATATCATAATTTCATCTCTTACTTAGAGTGTAAGTAACCACGGTAATCTCTGCTTACACACTTTTACCCTAACCACCTCTCAAATCCCATCCTTCACACTGCAGCTAGTGATCACTTCCTAAAAGTCCTATCTGATTATGTAACTCACCTGCTTAAAACCCTTCACCAATAAATAGCAGAGTCAAAGCCTTCTGATGGCCCTGCCTTTCTCTCTACCTGTATTTCAAATGGTGCTTTTTCTAGCACTTTAAGATCTTAAAATTGAAAACTGAATAGACCATGCTATCTTACGGTTTCATGCCTTTCAGTATATGTTGCACATTAGTCTGGAATGTTCTTCCCTCCCTCCTTACCTTTGGCTGGTAAACTCATTCATCCTTCAAAATCCAATTCAAAGAAAAAAATGTCAACACCTTCAAAGTATTTGTTCCTCTGTACCTTGTATGTGCTAATGCTGTTGATTGTATTTACCATTCTTTATGAGATGATTTGTTCATAAATCTGTCTCCTTTATGAAAAGGAGTTCCTGTACAGTTTATAGTACATTTTAAATACTCAGTGGATGAGTGCCTGGGTGGCTCAGTCAGTTCAGCATTAGACTTCGGCTCAGGTCATGATCTCTTGGGTCTGTGAGTTCGAGCCACACATCACACATTGGGCTCTGTGCTGAGAGCTCAGAGCCTGGACCTGCTTCGGGATTCTGTGTCTTCCTCTCTTTCTGCCCCTCCCCCACTCATGCTCAGAGGTCTCTCTGTCTCTCTCTCTCTCTCAAAAATAAATAAACATTAAAAAAATTTTTTTTTGATACTCCGTGGATAATTGTTGAATTATACTAAATTTTTATGAAAGGGCATGCCAATTAAACAAATTTCTGACGGTTTCATGAATCAAGGGCTACTTAGCTCCTTTTACAACCAGGCAGAGTGTTTTAAGAGAAAGGATAACTGGTAGTTCTTCAGTTTTGATTCTACTTGGCTTTTCTGTTTCTTTTACTGATGTCACAGTGTGGATTAGAAGTCACTAATGAAGGCATATCTTCAGTAAATGGCATCCTTTTAGAGATGCCAAAATGAAGTTGGCATTTAAAAAACTTCATAGTAGGGTATTTTATGTAATTAATAAAAACACTTTTGCATAAATAATGTTTAATCCTTACAACACCTTGTGAAACCACATAGGGAAATATGGAAATGAGAACTTCATGTGACTTGTCCAGTCACAAAATTAAAAAATGCCAAGCTGCAAATAGGTACTTTCACACAATTTTTAGAATTCATTGTCCTTAGCAGCCTAGTACAGAAATGGTACATGATTCATTGTTACTATTTTATAGACAAGGAAACAGTCTCAGATTAAAGAATTGGCCTAAGCAAATTCGCACAACTAGGAAGAGGCAGAAAAAGAAAAATTCAGGTCTTTAAATGGAAATGGTGCCTCATTAATTTGGGGTTTAGTCTCTTACTGTTTTGCAAGCTGTAGTGCTTGTAGCTGTTTTGTAGAAAGTAAGACCACTAAAGTTGATATTCAAGCAAGGTACTATAGGTTGGTGCTCTTTGTTCCTATATGGAAAAAGTGAGGGTTATATAGCAGGACAAACAAAGAATTGTCTTTTTTCCAGCTTGCTTATTGAGTTCAGATAGGTAATTCAGAGTTCAGTTAGGTATTGAGTTCAGATAGGTGTAGGAATATTGTAATTCCCATAGATGATATCTGTTCTTTTGATTATATGATAGTCCTCCAATAGCAAGTGTATATGTATACAATATCAACAGAATCATAAGGTTAAAAGTTTAATCCTGGATCATAAGGTTAAAAGATAATCCTGACATCTTTATTCTTTTTTTTTTTTTTTTTAAGTTTATTTTGAGAGAGAGAGAGAGGGAGAGAATCCCAAGCAGGCTCCACGCTATCAGCACAGAGCCTGTCAAGGGGCTTGATCTCACGAACCGTGAGACCGTGACCTGAACCGAGATCAAGAGTCGGACACCTTACCGACTGAGCTGCTTAGGTGCCCTGATCCTGAAATTTTTAATTTGGACTCTAATGTTGGTTAACCATTCAGAATCCCATACCATGTTCACAGAGTCACTATAAAATTAATCATTTTTTACCTGTATTTTTTTAACTTATAAAATATCTTGTTTAATGAATTCCATTCTCTGAAATTATTTAATTTTTAGGTTATTAAATTATTTTTACTTTTCCTTCTCATTTTTTTAAATGTTTATATTTGAGAGTGAGAAAGTGGGGGGAGGGGTAGAGAGAAAGGGAGAGAGAATCCCAGGCCAGCTCTGTGCTGTCAGTGCAGAGCCCAGCACGATGCTGGATCCCACCAACTGGGAAATCAGAACCTGAGTGGAGATCAGGAGTTGGTCACTTAACCACTTAACCAACTGAGCCAGCCAGGTGCCCCCTCCTCATTTTTTGGACTTTAGCCTTTTTTTGCCAGTTAACTTATTCCAGATTTTTTCAAGTTTTTTTAAATATTTATTTTATTTTTATTTTTTTAAATTTTTTAAATATTTATATGTTAGAGAAAGAGAGAGAGAGTGCTAAAAGGGAGGGGCAGAGAGAGAGATACAGAATCCAAAGCAGGCTGTAAGCACAGAGCCTGATGCGGGGCTCGAACACACAAACCTTGAGATCATGACCTGAGCCGAAGTTGGACGCCAACCAGTTGAGCCACGCAGCTGTCCCAATGTTTATTTTTTGAGAGAGTGTGATTGGGGGAGGGGCAGAGAGAGGGAGACATAGATGAAGCAAGCTCCAGGCTCCCAGCTGTCAGCACACAGCCCAGTGCAGGGCTCAAACCCAGGAACTGTGAGATAGGACCTGAGCTGAAGTCAGGTGCTTAACCAACTGAGCCACCCAGATGCCCCCTTTTTTTTTTTTTTTTTTTTTTTTTTTTTTTTTTTTTTTTTTTTTTAAGATCTGGGAAAGATTCAAAACTCACCAAGTCTTGCTACTTGACAGCACTTCTTGTTTGGTAATTGTGAAATGCAGATCACTAAGGCTTAGATATTAATTGTAGCTTTATTGACATGTACTTAATCGTGAAATCCTAGCTAAAGTAGCTAATGCTTTCCTTTTCTTTTTTTTTTAAAGAATTTAGAAAGTTCATATTAATGTAAATTTATTTACCTCAGGTGGCATGAATTCCATATAGAAGAATTGCTTCCTTACTAGTGCATCATCTGTGATATATGGCACAGACTAGAAACTCACTAATCTTGATAAATGAACATTTCAGGGTGGTTTTGTTTCTTTTGTTTTTCCTGTTCTGGTTTTTAAGGTGATGCCTTGTTTTGTCACTAGGTGGCATTAGCTCTTCAAATTACTGATAGGAAATCATTTTTCGATCCTCGGTAGTTTGTGTTTTTGTTAATCCAGTAAATATAATTGACAGATTAAAAGCAGAACTGTCTCAGGATCATCTTTTTAATATGTCAACGGTGGATTTTATAGCAGAGTTAGAAAGTAATTTCGGTTTTTATACTATTGAAAATAATCTCAAGCAATGATGATGATTAATTTAAAAAAAAACAAAGGCCTTGGAGTATTCGAGCTGTGTGCCACATCAGTTGGTTTGTACATTATTTTTGTGTATATATGATAAACTACTGATTAAAACCCTCGTTTGTAAATTCCTATGATGATTCAATTAATTTTATTCTATCTTACTGCTTATAATATAAATATATATATGTAAATCCATAAGTGCTTTATGAAATACAGGAATAACATCGCCATACTGAGCTTGAAGATGAATGCAGATGAATCACCTGCAGTTGTTTCTAATTATTCTCCACATCAACAAAGGAGATATTCTGAGTATGGTACAGTTAGGAGAAGGGAACTGAAGGCTTAAGGTTGTAAATGTATTTCCTCCATAAGGAGTTTAGGGTGTGATATCAGCAGCTTCCCCAATTTTTTATTTTTAAAAAATGTATTTATTATTAATATTATTATTATTATTATTATTATAATCCCAACATGGGGCTTGAACTCATGATCTCAAGATCAAGAGTTGTATGCTTTACTGACTGAGCCAGTCAGGTGCCCCTGCTTCCCCAGTTTTTTCATATAAAGGCCCCTTTCAACATCAAAATATTTTATAGACCACCATATGATAGTTGTTGAACTTTCGGTATCTGTTGATTGAGAAAGTAAAGCCAAAAATGCAATGAGTTCAGTAATGTGCTTAAAATAAATGTATATTTTAAAATTAATTCCTTCTACATAGTATTCTATCTAAATGGAGTTCTTAAAATAAAGCCACACATTTGTTCAGAGAGAATACAGTTTCAGTGAAACATCTACCTGTGAGTGCTTTTTAAATTTCAAAATAATAAGAATGGGGGTTGTAAATAGAGAGGGGAGTTGTTCTGTGAGGAGAGAAAGCAGATTTGAAAGGAAAGAACAGCTGATCACTGCTTAAACAGTGTCATGGTTGGATCGATCCTCTTGGTAAAAAGAGTAGAATGTGTTCCATTGTTACAAGGTGTAGATTATTTAAATATATACAGTATATAAGCTGTAGAATATATTTGGGATAGCTTTTTTTCAGAACAGATCTGGTTTTCTCATTTTAAAGTACCTGAATCCAGCACTAACAGGTCACTTTGTGAATTTTGTATAACACTACAATTAATTTCTTATTTCTACCTGCACTTTAAAATCAGAGATCTAAAAGTTAATTTTTGGTTTTTATTAGGATACTGAAAGAAACATAAGTTGAAGATAATGATTTTGGTCTAAAGTCAATGAAATTTTAATACTTAACTTTTTTTTTTTAATTACTGATTGAAACTTTTCCTTTCCTGTTTAAAGATGATGAAAAAGATGAGCATACTTCTAAAAAGCGCAAAATAGAACCAGGAGAACCGACAAAGAAGAAAAAGTAGAAAATGACAAATCACAAGAATTTCTGGACTGCGAAACTTGTTGAAACGGTTTTTTGGGGCAGATTAAGTTGATATTTTAAATTATTATGAAACAACATCTCCATGAAAGTACATGTTAATTAATAAGTATTGCTATGGGAACTTTCCACTGTAGAATTCATTTTTTTATTTAAAACTTTATTTAAAACTCAAGTGGTGATTTGTGATTGTGAAATTGACAACACTTGGAAGCATTCTTGCTATCACAGAGTTGGTGACATACTTTGAAAGTTTTGTCACATGTCGACATGCCAATGTTCTATGAACCTTTTATAAAGGAATATATTTTTAAAGTAAATATATTGTAATGTACTGTGAACTTGTAGGGTGCTTTTCAACAGTGTTTGTACAGTGTAAATAGATCATGGAAATAAAATTACTTATTCAATATTGCTATTGCATAACATTAACATTTGAATATTTGTCTGTGACAAGTAACCTCTTTGCCACATGGTGTTTTAATAGTAGGTATTACCATTTAGGGAGTGCCTCTTGTGTTCCAGGTGCTTCGTGGGTGCTTTTTCTCTGCTCTTCAGACAGCCTGGTAAAGCAGAGATTAGTGGCTTCATTTTGTAATAGAGATTAACTTATTCAAGTTTCCATAGCGAGTGAGCAATGATTTTGTGATTTAACTCAGGATACTTGACTTCCAAAATCATCAAATTAAGCCACCTACCCACCACTCAAAATTTAGTTGTCTTCTAAAGGAATTGCACTTGTCCTCTCTTCTAGGTACTCTCTGTGGTAAGTAGGGAGATCTTCCTCTTCCCTGATTGTATTACTGCACCTTGTCATGTAAGTCTTATGTGATGGTTTTTCCTTAATTTCCCTGTTAAATAGTTTGCTGAAGATAAGGATTCTGTATAAAGAATTGCCAGATGTAGCAAACAAAAATACAGGATACCCAGTTAAATTTGAATTTTATAGTAACAGCATGTTTTTGTATGTGTAATATTTGGGACAGCTTACACTAAAACTTTATCTGAAACTCAGATTTAACTGAGTATCTTGTGCATTATCTGGCAACACTACTTCTATTGCATCATCTTTACATGGTTCCTATTTTAATGCTTTGCATATAGTAATAAACAAGAAAGCAAGGGGTGGTCGAGAAATGAATAATCTTTGATTTTACTTCTACAGTCCAAAATGCAGTGCCCTTATTTGTAGCATTTTAAACTATAAAAAGGAGAGGTTATACATTGTATCAGTCATTTCATGATTCGTAATGCCTTTAAGAGACAAGACTTAATTACAGGACCTGCACATTCAGTGTATGAGAAAAAGACTTTGGTCTTTGAGTTAAAAAAAAAAAAAAAATCCCCAGTCCAGTTGTTTTTCTCAATACTGGAAACCAGTATTTGAAAAGCTGTAAAATTCGTGTAGTTAGAACATGGATTAAGTAGACTAAAATTTGTAAAAGTCATTAAAAAATACGATGCTAGCCATGGTGTTTTGTGGAATGAGGAAGGAACATAACAGTATGATGGCTTCAGTAGATCTCAGACTTAAAAAAAACTAATTGTGTAGCTGCTTATCCTCTAGGTTTATAGCTATATGATTCCCAAAATTGAAGTCATTTGTAAAGCAAGAAGTTTTTAGTTTAAAGCCTTTGTATGTGAATAATTTGGAGGGCTACGGTATCATATTAAGGAATGGCATCAAGTGATAAAGCATGACTCCAGTATGACACCAAACTAAACAAATAGAATTATAATTCTGAGGCTGTGATTCCCAGATCTGGAGAAGTCTGTAGTCTGGATACATGTGTTAGTAGAGCAGGTATCTCAAGAAGCTACCGAAATACAAGATTTAAAAACTAGCATGAAGGCACACCTCATACAAAAACAAAACAAAACCAGCAAACCACTGTCTGGAAATCTAACCTCTTTATCACCCATTGGTTCAACTCCCAGCTCTCATTGATTTGTTTATGACAACAAAAGCTCATTAGATCAGTCCCTACTGGTGCTTTGAGCCCCCCTTCTAGAAGATAACCGAATTGGGGTGGCGGGGAGGAATAAATACCACTTTATTAGAAGAGGGATTGATACTTTAGACAGGACAGGTAGTGGCTACACTTGTGAGATCATTACGTAACCGGCTGGGAGATGTATACCTATGTGAGTACAGGTCAAGGTAGTTCTAATTTAGGAAGAAGGAGGCTAAATATTTTTGAGCAGTCTGAATCGGCCGTATGTGTTTCATTGGGTTTCTTTTCAGAATATGGCCAAAAACAAAAGGGGAAAGGGATCTCTATCCAAGTTGTTTCTTTTTTTAGAGAATCAAGTCACTTAATATTCCTGACTGTTTCCTCATCTTTAAGGAAGTGAAGCCACATCAGGCATAAATGGCTTTCTTTTGTGCAAGGATAAAATTTGAGAAGAACTAAGCATTTGTGGGTCATATTTTAAAATTCAATGTGTGAATAGCATTATGGAGTTATGTGGAAAACATTCTAACTGGAATCGAAGAACATTGCTGAGAAAAATTGACACTGCTTTTTAACCATTAAAATACAAATATTACTGGAACTTATTTGCAAACTTGCAACTTCCTAGTTTAAACCGTTAATGCTATGTAGTGCTTTTGAGTTCACAAAGTTGAATCATAGCATTTTATTTTCCAAAAACCTAATGAGGTAGGTTTTATCATTTCCAAATTACGGAAATTGAAAAAACAGACCCAGCCAGCGACAGCAATATACCCACAACTATGCTTAGTTAGGTTCGGGATCTGCAATCCCATTCCATGTAAGGTTTATGGAGTACCTCTTGGTGTAAAGCATTGTGTTAGGAACAAAGGGTCCATCTTTAAGCAAAGTCACGTTGGTAGCCATTAGGAAGAAGGACATGCAGGGACTGAGTCTGACCAGCTGCAGCAGTTCAGTAGAGCGGTAAGGGTCTGCTTGAACTAAGGCGTCGGGAGAAGAGACGGGGATATGAGGAATAATACTGCTCAGCTGGATATAAAGGCAGAGTGAAATTTTCTTTTATTGCCAACACTGCATATATTTAATTAAAATATAAATGGGCTAATGCAGGTTTGAACATGACCTACGTATAAAACATGTTGCCACACCAGACACAAAGCCCTACTAGAGATATTTTTAAAATATAGTTATTTTTACAGGTATCTGAATAAACTCAGCAACTTTGAATAAGTCAAATTTTTGACTAATTAAAACCATAGCTGGACTTTAAAATATGTCATTGGTGGTATTTTGGATGTTCGTGTTTTTGTGTCCATATTGAACTGCTCTATTTTACTACTCCATTATCACTTAGTACAGAAGTTCCAGGCATTCTTAGAAAAAAAAAAGTGGTAAATTCCCAGCAAGTGTTTTGGACTTTTCATTAAATTCTAAAGCTTTCTCTTTTTTCTTTACACAGTTTTCCCAATATGAAACATGGCATTGCATTGTAATGGAAAAAAAAAGAAAAAGATACCAAGAAGCATTTGTATGTATAGTCCACAGAAGAGGGACTCTGCCTGTTCTGTCATTGACTAGAACAATGCCTGGCACATAGAAGGCACTCGATATAACTCCTAATTGGTGATGGTGAACTGAATTTTCCCCCTCTGGTTTAGGGGTGATCCTCCAGAGGCTGTGTTTCCAGTTATATAGGCCAATAAATCTTAACAACTTAAACCAGTTTGAGTTCAGTTTTGTCATTTTCCATCCAAAATATCCTAATTGATGTGAAACTCTACTCCCTTGGTTTCTTATAAGGTCCCATGTTATCCTGGTTCTCTTCTTTATTTCTTCTCTCTGGCTCCTTCACTTCTGGTTGCCCTCAAATGCCAGTGTAGCCTATGTTGTTGCCTTCTCGTTGTCTACACTGGTTCTTGACAATTTCAGCCAAGTTCACGACTACCACAGTAACACTATGATGGTTCCCTACGCTGTATGGTTTGTCAGAATGTTCTTGTAAAACCCTAGATTTGTGTATCCAATTATACATCTCTGCTTGAGTCTCAAGGGCCACTCACATTATGTATGTCCAAAACCAAACACATGGTGTCAAAACCCATACCACCTCCTATATTTTGTTTCTGGCTAATAGAGTTACCATCAACCCAAAAATCTGCCCTCTGCCCCACATGGGTTAGGTTACTAAATTCTAAGGGTTTTCTCCCCTCGTTCTCACATACTTAATAATCCCCCTCTAATGACTCATATATAATTTCCCAGGTATGCTAGTTTCATAGTTCTGTGTTCAATTGTACCATTTGTTTAGCCTGGCCTTTCTCATTCTACTTAGCAAACTCCCTCTTATTCTCTGAGATAAGAATCCAGGTACATATTCCTTCTGTGCACCTTGCTCTTTATGTCTGCTTCTGCACCTGTCCATTGCTGTTTTCTGTGCTCAGTACTAAATAGCTGACATTAGCTGAGTACTTAATGAAACCAGTAACCAAAGGGTTAATGGGACTACTCACAGCTGCAGACTAATAAGTGCAGCTGCAACTTTTTACTCAGACTTTTTTCATAGGCTTTTAAGTCTTTCTGACACTCCAAGAGGTGGATTTGAGGCTTGCCCTCCAGTCTCCTTGTTTGGCTGCCTCTCAAACCCCCTCCTTGCTACATACTCAATGATTGTCTTTCCTGCGAATTGGGCGGAGGAACTTGGATTTGATTACATTACTATGTGCCAGGCATTGTTCTTGGTGCTTTACATGTATTAACTCATTTAATTTGTTGAGGTAGGTGCTAGTCCTAGCCCTACATACCCGGGGGGAGAAAACTGAGGTACAGAGAGGTTAAGTGATTTGCTCCAGGTGGTAGAGCTGGGACAGCGGGCAGTCTGGCTCCAGACCCAGTGCACTCCTGCTGCTGCACTGGAGGGAAGGAGAACTTGAATGAACCCATAGATTGACTTATTAATTTGTATGTGTTTCATTCAAAGGATGTCTTACCCCTAGAAGGCACTCAGAATACAAATATTTGGAGAATTAATGAATCCCAAACCAGTTCACTAACCAGAGGCACAGCATTTGTTTAATGCTATGGAAAGTCAATAAATACATGTTTTAGGAAGATTGATGCCTATTTCAATGACTTAGTAGCTTATTTATCACATATTTGGAGTATTTTAATTGAAAACCTTAAAGTAATAGGGCTGAGGATATACCTCTCTCCCTCCAAAAATACTCTTTAGCTTTTCAGCTCTTTTTCAAAGTCTACAGTTTTTTAAGCAAAGTGAAATAGCTGTAAGTCATAAATTTTGCCTCAAGTATTTTTTCTACCCTTTTAAATGATAGCTTGAGTTTAGAATCATCGCACCAGGGTGTGGGAAGGCCTCCAGAGGCCCTCCAGTACAGCCTTGCCAGAATATAGGATTGTCTTCTCTGTGATCTTTGTCTCTCATTTCTAGGTTCACAGATGAGCCCACAAAATGACAGGTTTACAGGCTGGATTTGAAAAGTCATTTCCTGTGTGTCTGTAATATTTTGGTTCCCAGGGTCTGGAACTCCTGTTCCTTTCCCTGTGTTTACCATTTTCTGAAAAAGAAAAGAACAGAGTGTTTGGTGCATATTATTGAAGTAAAAGTGCAGCTCCATTCCTGGCATAAGTACCTGTCTCTCTTTCTAGTGGGACCAAAATTCTAGCAACCTTCTCTAGTGCAGACTGGGGAACCTGCATTAACATTTTAAATTTAGAAACTGCAATGGAGTCACAAAAGTCACTTCCCGAGAAGGAGGTGATTTGCCTGCAAGCAGAGTTACAAGCAAGAGCCAACTTGGAATTAACTCCTCTGAGGCTCACATGCCAGGAGGAACTTAAGACCCTTTTGCTAGTTTTTGCTGGTTTTCAGTTTGGACACACACACACACACACACAGGATTTAACAGTCAATAGAACCTTCCTTTCCTCTTTTTACCAAGTTCTGCCTCAGGCCTTCCCCTCCAACCCTCTCCTCAACTGCAAAAAGTGGCCTACTTAGTAGTAAAATTTCTTCCATAACATCTGGAATCCACATGTCCAAAATGTAAGGCATAAACTCTTCATTTTTTTTTTCTTTTAATTTAGGCTTAATTACTTGAGCTCCAAATCCTGCCAGTCCCTGCCTCCCTCCATACCAAACTAATTAGAACAATTATCTGAGCCATCCATGGCTACCGATCTGTTAAAGCCTGTTATTGAGGTTAACAAATGAGAGGGTTAATTTCTCTAGATTGCTCCATAGTTGGCGAAGAAAGATAACA